ACCCCTCTCTCACAAAAACACACACACACACACACACACACACACACACACACACACACACACACACACAACTCTTGCACTGTACCGTACCTGGCAGCAACCAGCTCCCAAAGCAATGAGAACATTCTTGGTAGCTTAATAGGCATAATTGATGGAGCACTCACTGTGTCCTCACAGGTGGAAGTTGTCTGTCCCCAGGCAGCTCTTTAGATGCACAGAGGGTGCTGTCGATAGGAGCTGATACAAGGGGATTGGGTTGCAGCCCCAAACTCCCAGTCCTCTCACCCAGTGGACCCCAGCTGCCTGCCGCTGAGCCTGTGGCAAGGACTGGAGGACACTGCACAGAAATGGGAGACGAGGGGACCTTAGAACCTGGGCCTGGCATCACTCCTTATAGCCACACAGCTAGAAGCCAGGGCCTCATCTCGCCATCTTGGAGAGAAGAAGCAAGCAGCCCAGGATCAGTCTGTAAAGGCTCCAGTCAACACCAGTTACCAGCAGTTGAGGGCACAGGGAGGGCTGTGGAGATGGCTGGGTGGGTACAGCGCTTGCCGTGTGAGCATGAGGACCTGAATTCAGATCCCCAAAACCCCCATAAAAGGCCAACAATGACACACATCTATATCATCAGGTCTAACTGTTTCTGGGTTGGAACCCTAGGTCTACAGATCTCTGCTATCCTATTGGCAAGGCCTTGGGTGACCATGTCCTCTGAGTAGTTGCAGAAAGGATGGCCATTGGGCACAGACACTAAGACCCAATGAATGTGGGTGGCACTATCCTGTGGCAGGAGGCTGGGGGCAGAAGGAGGAAGTCCACACCACAATGCCCATAGTGTCTCTTTCCTCACCCTTTATGCTGTGACAGTGAACATTTCAGATGGTGCAGGTGACTTATTTTTAATGATTTATTATAAAAACTCAAACTGCACAGATCTGAAGTCTTGTTTTCTCTTCTTAACTTGCCTTGTCCCTTGAACTGTCTTCAAGTAGCCAGTGTGTGCCCTTCCAGAAAGTCCCACAGGCCTGCACACATATATGCACACATATACGTGGAGAGACAGACAATTCAGCTTGGTGTGCCTTTGCTTGCCTGGCATCCTCTCTCTCTCTCTCTCTCTCTCTCTCTCTCTCTCTCTCTTCCTCCCCCACCCCTTTCTCTGTCATCTCCCACTTGCCACCATGAGGTCATATATTGAAAAGATGGTCTCTGTGGCTGGAAACATGGCTCAAAGGGTAAAGACATTCACCGCAAAACCTGATAACCTGAGTTAGATCTAAGGAATCCACGTGAAAATCATCTCCCATAAGCCACCTTCCTCTGACCCCCATGCGCGCATACACACACACACACACACACACACACACACACACACACAGAGATGAATTCACAGATTTTTTTTTTAAATTTTAGAATGTTCCCTGAACCTCTCCAGACCCCAGACCTCCTAGTGCCTTGAGTGCCTGGTGTCCACTAACTGCCAGCATTAACCCTTAAGTGCCCTTTCTCCATGAGAGTCTCCTCTCGGCTTTATGAGTCACTGAGTTCACTCGGGCTACAGCGCATCTCACTCCTCACCAAGAAGCCATTGTTGCTAGGGACCCGCTAATATCCGCCATCCAAGGGCTGTTGTCACTTGAGGAATCGTTTCTCTAAATGTGGCTCTTTCACGGCTTCACATGTCATGTGCACATTTTACAAATGGAGAGCAGAGAATCAATTGACGTTTCATCTGGAAGCCAGGAGGCTCCGTTGTCTACGAAGCATCCCAAACACATGCAGGCCACCACGTGACATAGACCTGGGCTGATGGCCACACATTGGCCATCGAACTCATTCACACCCAGAGCACACATTAACCACCATCTCCTATCATCCCCCTCCCAGCCTGCTCTCTTACGGGTTCCCTCTACATGGTGTATCTCTTGCGTCTGGTCTCAGGGCTCTAGATAAGTACCAGGTCTCCTGCCACATCTCTGACCCCCCTCACCCCCCCCAGCTCCAACCCCCCTCCCGTTTCTAGATCCAAGACTCACGCCCAGTCGTCAGACTTCCCAGTCTTCCATGTTGTTTTGTAAAAGCATCCTTCAAGATCGAAACATTTCATCCTACAGGAAGCTCCTTAAACAGGAAGGCAAACAGCTCAAGTCAGATGAGGAAGTCCCTGAAACTGACCAGATTTACTAACCCCCTCCCTGCCAGGGTAGTAATGGAAGCTGAGGGTTCACCTCAGCCCTGATGTAGCCAAGCTGCAAAGGAGACTCAGACCAGACCAGCTGCCTGGAAGACACAGGAACCAGTGAGCTGCCTGGAAGAAGTTTACACCAACTGAGGCACCTGGAAAGGACACTCTTCGACATGCTGAGCTGCCCTCAGGCTGTGCAGTGTGCTCCAGGTTGCCAGCTTTGTGAGCTGTCACCCAGGCTGGGGTGGCTTTGATGATGCAGCTGTCTTTGAGTCATTTCTGCTCCTGTAAGTGACCCCTCACCCATATTCCTGTAAGTAACCCCAATAAAACTCATTGGTCCACCAAGCAGGACTTTGATGCTATCTTTCGTGGGCTCCCTGTCTGGAGTGAGCAGACATGTATGTGGCATATCCCCAGAAAAGTTTTGTCACACAACGCAGGTGACTCACGGATGTGGAAGTCTGTGATTCAGACTTGACATCTAGATCACTCACACTGACCTCCCAGAGTGGGGGTATTGCATTTCCTCATCGGGGAAGGCTCACTGAGCACCACTGCTCCCTGAGAACATTTAAGGATCAGACACACAGCCCTGCCCTCTCTGTGGGCACAGCAGACCCAGGGCACCCAGCTGTTGACAAGGCTAAGAGCTGGACCTCAGTGACCCAGGATGGCCTGACTCTGTCTCTCATTAAGACCAGACCCTCCAACGTGGCCACAGGGTTTCCCAGAAATGACCTAGTGGCAGCATCCTCATTCAGGGGCTGTCCAGCCTGCCTACTGTCCAGTCTCCTACAACAGGACACAAGGACCTCAGCCCTGCTGGCTTTGAATGAGTGACAATGGTCCTCAGGGTAGGGGCAGAGCTCACTTCCTGGTGCAGAGTGGCAAACAGCAGCCTCAGTCTTATCCTCAGGATAAACAATCCTGCCCCCTCCCACACCTCTGACCTACTGACTGTACTGTATTTGAGAGTCCAAGCCCTTGAGAGCTGGGGACTGAACGCACCTCAGGCGAGCGCTCCCCAACTGCACTGTGCTTGGTGCACATCTGGAAGCCATGCATCCATGCATCCCTTCCACTGCAGATCAAAACAGCCCCCACTACATGGGCTGTGAGATGGCGCAACAGGAAAGGAGTTTTCGCTGTGCAAGCCTGACAACATGAGTTCAAACCACAGAACCCGCATAAAGGTGGAAGGAGAGAACCCACTCCACAAAATTGTCCGCTGACCTCCACGTGTGCACTGTGGCATGCTCACCTACACATCATGTGTACACACATGTGCATGCATCCGTATCATCATCACAGGTTAAAAGAATTAAAAAACAAGGCAGCCACCACAGCAAACCCATTGCCTAGATGAGGAAACAGAGGCAAAGAGAGCTAAAGGCCCCAGGAGCCAGGAGCCACGCTGGGTGCCTAGCTCCAGAGAAAACAGATGGAAACCTCTGATGCTAAATTAATTTGGCCAGAGCTACTAACCTGGTCCAAAACCCAAGTTGCTTGGGATACCCATGTGCTGAGCAGGCTGTCTGTGAAGACTTTGCTGCATCTGGTGGCCCCAGGGATAAGAGGCTATTTCTGAGAAGACCTTGAAGTGGTAGCCATCCCTGCCAACTTCAGGGCACCTGCCCCTCTGGCTGACAAGATGATCCCTATGCCTTCCCACACAGATGTGGAGAGCTGTGAGTCCCCCAGCTGCTTCAACCAGAAGGCATGTGCTCCCCCACCTGGAGGAGCCAGGGCCAATATCGGGTGGTCCCACCGAGGCTGGAGCCCACTGCTTCCCTGGCCTGCACAGTTGTTCCTCCTGGATCAGCACCACCTCAGGAGTAGCTGTGTGCCCTCCTCTCCTGGCCCGACCCCTCCTCCATCCTCTCGTCAGAGAGTGAAGGTCTCACGCCTTCCCTCTGGTCTGGGCTGAGGCTAAGTAAACAAGCGTGGTGCACATGTGAACATACCAACTGCTGACCCGCCAGAACCTTGGGATCAGGTGCTGCTCTCACCTCAGCCCCAGCAGCAGGAAGATGGCAGATGCACAGCGAAGGCCCTGGGGCCACAGCTCCTGCACCAGCTTTGCCGGGTGTCTCTGATTTCAGGAGAGAGAAACACACACCCCTACTATGCCCCTCTGTAACCCCCAGGACAATGCAGCAGGGAGGCTGTGACATGACCAACAAGGAACATGGCACCCCCGTGGACTCCAGCTTTGCCATCAGAGGCCCGCTGCTCACCCGAAAGCCATTGGACCCCATCACTGCCCAGCCTCATTGGCCTCCTGGGACCTGGGACCCCAGCACGTAATATACTCCATCCACCCTGGCCTGGTCATCTCCTGGCCCTCTCCCTGGGCCTGAAAGTTTTCCTTCTGCCCTGTTTGTGGAACATCCAAGCGGAGCGGCCTCTCACAAGCAGACTGCAGACTTCAGGCACGTCTCTGTCTTTTATGGGGCATTCTGCACCCAAGGAAGCTGAGTGGAACAAATGAGATTGGAATTTTATGATTCTTTTATAGTGTTGCACCGAGGATAGCTTTTTTTAATTAGCTGCTAACTCGATACCTTTGGCAATTCTAAATAATTCACCAGTCCGCCCCCCTCGTCCATACCAGGTGTGCTGAGCAGCCCATGCACTCGCTAGCTCTGCTGGAAGGCTGAGGCAACTCCATAGTCACAAGGGCAGAGGCCCCATGAAGGATGGATGCTGAGTGACCCATCCTCCAGTGACCTAGAAGGTGGGGCCAGCCTTTTCTGAGGTCACAGGGCATTCCTCCTTGGGTGCAGCCACAGGTGTGCCAAGCCACCTCAGGGACAGCTTTCAATCTTTGTGTCCTAGCTGGAGATGCTCTTGACGGCAATGCCCACCACATCCTCTCCTCTCTGCAGAAACAGCATCTTTGACCATCCAGTCTCCCTCAGACCTAGCTGCTCCAGAGGCCTGGGCCATCTGCTTGGAGGGCTCCCACCTTCCTGGAACATTGTGTCCTGGAAGGACTGTATTCATTGCCTCCTCTTCTCACTAGTTCAGAACATAGTTGGCTAGATTCTACTCCACAGCAGCTCAGGGCCAGTGCCCAAGCCAGGAGCTGGGACCATTCGCGGACTACCAACCACCTGCAGAAATCAAGCCCCCAGAGCTCAGGCTAGCCAAATGGAGATGCCACTAATGGTGGAATCACACAGACCACAGCTCTTCAGCCAGTCCCCATGGCTGGTCAGAGAGTGACTGCATCCATCTTCCTTCCTGCCCCTAAGAGGCCCCTAGAAACTCTGGCCCCTCCAGAGAGGCCTTGAGGACAGGAGCCCATAAAGGTTAGCTTGATCTGCTTCTGCATTTAACGGCTCCGTCAAGGACTCTGCCCAGATTCAATTACCTCCGCAGGTTTTATAAGACCAGACCCATCCAGCGTGCTGATGGCTGTGGCATGGGCCAGCAGGCACACCTCCCTTCTCTCCTGTAAATGCTTGAGGGGGGCAGCGCTGGGAAGGTCCAGAGGCCAAGGTTACCTCCAGCTTCTCTTCTCAGAATCTCAGTCTCGGAGCCTGGCACAAGCGACACCTTCTGCTCCACACAGCTACAGAGGCTCTGGGACTCAGGATTCTGAGTGGGTGGGGCCTGGGGAGCCAGATCCTCACATATACAATGGAAAACCACTGCTTGGCCTACCAGGCCCACACCATTCTTCCTACAGTGTTCCTGCCATGGGGTCCTAGGGCCACAGGTAGTGACTTCCTGCCTTGTAACGTCCTTTGTTGTTATATCCTAGGCTGTGGCTGCCGCTGCCTGTTCCATTATAGACCCTAGACTCACGCCAGCCCACAGCCTGTGGAGCTCAGATACTGCAGCAAGGTTGGCCTTAGATACAGATCTGGCCATTCAGGCACATAAGAAAATGAGAGGCATTTTAGTTAGTCTGCCCTTGAAATTCTATAAACCCTCTCCTCTGTAGAGCTCATCCTGGGGCTAGGAAAGGTCAACCAGCTATGCCCAGGTATGGCGTGCAGTTTCAGCCTGCCACCTTGAACCAACCTAGAGATTTTCAGGAGGGAGGACCAGCATCAGCATGAGGAACAGGAAGACTCAGGCCATACCAGGGCCACCTTGCAGCTGGTTCTGGCCTAGATGGCTACCTTGTGCACCAGGCCCATTATTTGAGCACTGGGGTTCGGCACTTCCACAGGGCATAGTCGGGTAGGGAAGCATCGCAGGCAGGCCTCTACCCCATGCCAGCCCCTACCAGCATCTCACTCCCATCCGGCCAAACCTGTGAACCCAGCCAGTTTGGTGGCCCAAGTGCTTCAGGATCCTCCATGGCTTCCTGCCCTTGGGGAGAGCACTGGTTCCTCCTGTGGCCACTACCCAAAAGGGCCACTTCTGCCCACCAACTGCAGCTCTAGAACAGGACAATGGCTCCACTCTTGAATGGTGGCATGTTCACACACACCCCAGTCGGCCATCACTGCCCCCGGCTCTCCCTACCTCCTGCATGGGCTTTAAATCAAGGCAAATGCTAAACTCTTGGATGGTGGCACGTTCACACACACCCTGGCCGGCCATCGCTGCCACCCCCATAGACTCTCCCTGCCTCCTACATTGGCTTGAATCCCAGCTTGCTCGGGCGCCATCTTCCCTCCCTCCAGAGCTAGCTAATTCCATTCTGAGGTGAGAGTGAGGCCCTCCCACCCTATTTGTGTTCTGGGAACTCCAGCACCTGGACTGAAGCCTGGGCGTCACAGGTGTTCAGTAAATATTTGTGAAGACATTAGAGCCGAGAGCACCTGCTGCATGCCAGACACCACTGAAGCTCACACCTCCATACATAAACAGCATCTCACTAATAGGATGCAATTAATCCTGAAACCATCTGGAAGGTAGTTACTGTTACTATCCCATTTTCCAGGAGCAGGACTAAGGCTCAGGGAGATTAAGT